TCGATTCATAGAGACTATATATCCTTCTCTTTCCTATAATTTCAGGGAAGGAGAAAAACATATTTCCCTCAGGCTTGGCTGGATTCAAAACAATTAGCAATAGCTAATTTTCATTCACTGTCATCTTTTCATTGCATCAGCACCTTCATGGATTGGCCTTTTAGGCAGTGTCATAAGCTCATGAGGGGCAAAGACAAGGTTATTCAGTGACCAGTCAGCTCTCATAAAGCAAAGTACTATTTATTTGGAACCAAAGCATTTTAGCAAAAGCATATCCTTAAAACAATGAATAGCTTATATCCATGTCTAGTTTACCAGATGGTCATCTATCTTCCACACAGAGACTTTGGCAGGTTGAGTATTTCCCTTTGAAACATCTGGCACTGACCACTGGCAGACTGGATACTGGGCTAGATAGATCAGTGGTCTGACCCAGTATGGCCATTCTTGTGTTTATTTCACAAGGCCTGTCTCTCTTGGTCACAAGCTCATGTCAGTTCTTGGATTGAGTGTGTGACTCCCTCCCCCAGGTCAGGGTTGTCACTTTATGCAGCTTCAAGTCCCTTGTATTGTTAGGCTTCTTAAACCAGGACAAAGCAGTACATGCTGTTTCCCCGGGAAAGAGGCGGAGGCGGGAGCGGGGGGGAGGGTGCCTTATTTCCCTGACACTGAGCTTTGTCAGTACTTAAAGCTAAGGCCTGGTCTACACAACGAGGTTAGGTCAAATTTAGCCGCATTAGGTCGATTTTATAATGAATGCATCTACACAACCAACGCCATTCCGCTGACCTAAAGGGTTCTTAAAATCGACTGCTGTACTCCTCCCTGGTAAGGGAAATAGCGCTAAAATCGACCTTCCGGGGTTGAATTTGGGGTACTGCAGACGCAGCGCTGTGCAATTCGATGGTATTGGCCTCCGGGAGCTATCCCTGGGAACTTTTCAATTTCTTTTCCAGTTTGGTCAGCATGGCGAGCTCAGCAGAACAGGTGACCATGCAGTCCCAGAATCGCAAACAAGCTCCAGCATGGAGCAAATGGGAGACACTGGATCTGATTGCAGTATGGGGAAAAGTATGTGCAGGCAGAACTCCGATCCAGCAGAAGAAATGCTGATATATATGCCAAAATTGCACAGGGCATGGTGGAGAGAGGCTACACCAGGGATGCACAGCAGTGCCCTACCGTGTGAAAATTAAGTTGCTCAGGCAAGCCTACCAAAAGACAAAGGAGGCAAATGGTCATTCCAGGTCAGAGCCCCAGACATACCGCTTCTATGATCAGCTGTATGCCACCCTACCAGTACCCCAACACTCTCTGTGCACACCTGCAAGGTGGCAGCCTCATGCAACATGGACGAGGATTTTGTGGATGAGGAAGAGGAGGAGGAGAATGCGTAGCAGGCAAGAGAAGAATCTGTTCTCCCGGCAGCCAGGACCTTTTCCTCACCCTGTAGCCAATACCCTCCCAGGGCCTATTGTTCCCGGACCCTGAAGGCGGAGAAGGCATCTCTGTTGAGTGCATATTTGTAACGACACTACAGTGGTTAAGATCAATTGTGTTTAACGTTTGATTTGCCCTGAACAATTGGGATGCATTCGCAGCCAGTACAGCTACTGGAAAAGTCTGTTAACGTTTCTGGGGATGGAGTGGGAATCCTCCAGGGACATCTCCATGAAGCTCTCCTGGAGGTACTCTGAAAGCCTTTGCAGAAGGTTTCTGGGGAGGACTGCCTTATTTTGTCCTCCACGGTAGGACACTTTACCACGCCAACCCAGTAGCAAGTGGTCTGGAATCATTGTAGCACAAAATATGGCAGTGAATGGTCCTGGGTCTTGGTCACATTCATGCAATATTCGGTCTTTATCTTTCTGTGTGAGCCTCAGGAGAGTGATATCATTCATGGTCACGTAGTTGAAATAGGGGAAGTTTTGTAAGGGAACAGTAATCCCCTCTGTTTGGTGATCCCCAACACATTAGAACCTGGAGAATAGCCACGTGGGGTGGTGGTGGGGGGAGGAGTGCTGCACATCTACCCCAAAACTGCAGCCCCTCCTTTTAAACGGCAACTGCACCCCTCCTTTTAAAGGGCAAACACAGCCGACATTGGTTGCTATGGGAAAGGAGGCTGCTGCAGTTTGAAACCATTCCCACATGTTATGAACGTGGAAGAAGCCAACCCTGCGTACCCTTATCATGGCTGCCTGGAAACCGAATTCTGTTGCCCAGCCGTGTGTGATGTATCACCATACCAGCAGGCGCCCAATATAAAAGGCAAAATGCGACCTTGTACCTAAAGCACATGTGCTGTCTGCTTGATTCACTGTGAAAGAGTCTCCCTTTTGTTCTCAGAAATGTATCATTTTAAAAGTCTACTCTCCTTTTTCTCCCCCTGCAGCTGAAAATGCTTCTATGCTCCCCACATCAACTCCGTCCCTGAGGTTATTGCAGATTAGAAGGCGAAAAAAATGCACTCGTGATGACATGTTTTCTGAGCTCATGCAGTCCTCCTGCACTGACAGGGCACAGCTGAATGCATGGAGGCATTTGATGGCAGAGGTCAGGAAAGCATACAGTGAGCGTGATCAGAACACACAGGAGGAGATGCTGAGGTTAATGGGGGAGCAAACGGACATGATAAGGCGTCTGGTGGAGCTGCAGGAAAGGCAACTAGAGTACAGACCCCTGCTGCATCCACTGTATAACCACCTGCCCTCCTTGCCAAGTTCCATATCCTCCTCACCCAGATGCCCAAGAACGCAGGGGGAAGGCTCCGGGCACCCTGCCATTCAACTCCAGGGGATGGCCCAAGCAACAGATGGCTGTCATTCAAACAGCTTTGATTTGTAGTGTAGTTACAATAAGCAATGGGGCCTTGTCTTTCCCTCCTCCCTCAGCCCACCCCGTTATCAAACCCTTTGTACACCCAGGCTACCTTTTACTAGTCAGTGTTGTCAGTGAACTCAAGTTATTTTTAATAAATAATGAATGGATTCAGAACAATAAGGACTTTATTTCCTGTGCCAGCTGTGGTCGAAGGAGGGGAGGGGGATTGGCTTCCAGGGAAGTACATTCACCAAAGGGAGCGGCTTTGCGTCAAGGACAAACACACAATCGTCGGGTCAGTCATGAAACTGTTTTTCAAAGCCTCTCTGATGCGCAGCATGCCTCGGTATGCTCTTCTAATTGCCCTGGTGTCTAGCTGTTCAAAATTGGCACAAAATGATTGTTTGCCATTGCTTTCAAGGAGGAAGGGAGGGAGGGGAGACTGCCGACATGTACCCCAAACCATCCGCAACAATGTTTTTGCCCCATCAGGCATTGGGAGCTTAACCCAGAATTCCAATGGGCAGCGGGGACTGTGGGATAGCTACCCACAGTGCACCACTCCGTGAGTCGATGCTAGTCACGGTATTGAGGACGCACTCCGCCGACCTAATGCGCTTAGTGGGGACATGCACGATCGACTATATAAAATCGGTTACTAAAAATTGACTTCTATAAAATCGACCTAATTTCGTAATGTAGACATGCCCTAACATAGGCATCGAGAGCATAAAAGTTTACTCTAAAGAAATCTACAAATAACTCCATTACTTTATTGTTTCTGAAGAAGGCATGAGTTCTCTTGTGATTCACCAATTGTTAGAAAACATTATTTCAGACAAAGTTACTTACAGAAGCTGTCATAAAACTAGATAACTCTTGAACCCACTTTGAGTGCTTCTGGTTCCTATTTCAAAGTAGATGAATGTTAAAATTGACTAAAGCAAGTTTAGCTGTATCCATAGCTACCTGTTAAATGGAAAGTTGTTAAAAAAACAGGGAGTGCCTCTGCAATGGCTCCTGCCTATTCTCCTTTATTTAAAGTTTTACTTCCAATGTAGTTAAGTCCATAACTATAGTGTTTAAGACACTGAAGACAAAAAGTACAGGGTCATATTAGGGTCTGGCAGTGTTGTGCTGCTCTGATAATACAAAGGTGCTGTAAACCTGCCTTAACTGGCCAGTTAAACAGGGTTTATGGCTTCAAAGCAGTTCATTCTATTTAGAGACTGTTTGGATCCAACTGTGCTCTCACCGCAGTCAATACGAGCTTTGCCATTGATTTCGGCTGACAAAAGTAGGCCCCTTATGTACTGTATACTTTTTGCCCCAATGTTTTATTGCTAGCGACATTTTCAAGGAAACAGTATATTTTAAGTGTTGATATGCTCTTGCTATTTAAAATCCCCACTCAGTGAAGTCAGCCAGTATGATCTGCAAGATTTACATAGCCATTTCCATAGAAATCTATCGTGCCATCATATACAGAGCTCCTGACTAGGAATGGAGGATAAACTGCTGAAGAGATAAGGGCTGCCTGCAGATTTCATTTCCATCTCCATGTTCCTATTGAAAAATGGACGAAGCAGAACCAGATAACGATAATCCTGATAGGATGCTAGTCCTCCCCTTCACTTTTCCATTTGTGATGATAACTCAACAAACCTTTGGAAGGTTTCCTCAAGGTGATTTTCATATAGTCATTATTACTGGGCTATTTGGGTGGCTGATATCCTCTTTCCTTGGCGTCTGTAAGTTTCTTTTTTACAAGAAGAGCTTGGCTTGCACACCTGATAAGATATGAGAGCTGTGCGTCTGATGTTTTGAGCTGCTGCAATAAGGAAACATTGTATGTAGCCCTATTAAAATACTTGCTTTCTGGCTGCTGCACTGTATTCCAAGTGGACTAAAAAAAAGTTGGCTGCGCGGCTAAGGGCGTGTGACGGGGGCACCTTGGCAAGCAATGCAGTCAGACCTTTGAGCTGAGTGGGGACATAAACACTCCCTCTGCAAACACGGGACTCCAAATCCCTTGCAACCTCGACGACGAGTTTCGTTTCTTTCCTCACAACTGCTTGTTGTCAAAAATACCGTCATCACCTAATGTGCAAACAGATCGTTATAGCCTCCCAGCCCCCCGCCCCCTTTTGTTTTGTGTGGTTTCCCAGCAACAGCAAGAGGGCTCGGTTTCTCTGTAGTGGCTGCTCTGCAGAAGAACCTGCTGCCGCTGCTGGCTAGAAAACTTGGCCCTGCAGCTCAAGTGACAGCAGTGCGTGCGGTTTTCCAGCTCCAGTCCAAGCCCTGGTGATAGCTGGAGGGCTGGGCGGCTGACAAACCACCCGATCGCTTTCGTTTCCCCGCGCGTTGCCTTATCGGGTTTCCCTTTCCCCGCACGTGCCACGAGGGGGCGGCGGGTCCTTGGCGCTGGCTCGGTTTTGTTTCTCCGGGTAGCTGCGGCGGGATGCTGCATCCCAGCCGGCTGGCCCGGCTCACGCTGCTGCCCCGCTCGCTTTCCGCCATGGCGGCGCCTCCCGCGGGCTGCTCCGGACAGGCCCGACCGTGCTTCGCTGTGGAGGGGCCCGGCTCGGACCTGGTCTGCTTCACCCTCAGCGATAGCGAGGGCGCAAGCGGCAGCGGCCGCCCCGGGCCCCGCTGCTTTGTGCCCGCTCCGGGGAGGTGCTATTCCCTCTGCGTCCCCGCCACCCCTAGCGTCCCGGCGGCCAGGCTGCACCGGCGTTTGCAGCAGAGGCTGAGGCAGGGGCCGTTCGGGAGATGCCGGGTCCTGGGGCTCCTCTGCTACGGGGCGCAGGCTGCGCTGGAGAAGGGCTTCCTCATCCAGGACCCGCAGGGAGGCCCGGAGACCGAGCGCGCCCTGGAGGAACTGCTGCGGGGCCTGGGCGAGCTGCCGCCGCCGCTGGGCGTGTACGAGGCGGGCGAGCTGGGCGAGCTGTGGCAGTGCCTGTGGGCCCTGCGAGGGCCGGGCGGCAGAGAGCTGCTCCGCAGAGCCCGAGTGGTGGCCGTCGAGGAGCCGCCGCTGCACCCCGCAGTGCCCGGCCTTCGCCACGCCGCCGTGTTCCACTCCCTGGAGGCCGCCCGCAGCGTGGTGGAGCAGGTAAGATCCCGGGCAGCGGCCGTTCAGAGGGAAATGAAGCTCAGCCTGATTGCACCTACTCAGCTCCCCAGGGGCTCTGCGCCTGGTTCTTTCTCGCAGTGCAACCCGGCCACCGCCAACTTCGTATTGACATTGGCCTAAGTGCGGGGGATCAGGTCCATGATCTATTTTCCTTTCTTAACCCCTGTGCCTGCTTAGCAAGGAGGCTCCCACCTGGGATGCTGCATCCTACTTTCCCCAGGGGCTTATTTTTTGTGTAGACGTGATGGGGCCTGAGACACCCCAGAGTCGTTCTACTGACTTAAGTGGACATTACTTCTGAATGACACCAGCTTACATGAAATCAGGCACAGGCCCGAAGGCTGTTGGATCATAATACCTAGCACTTTTCATCAGTAGATCTCAAAGTGCTTTACAAATGAGGTATATGTGACTATCCTCATTTTACAGAAGGGGAAACTGAGGCACAGAACAGTGAAGTGACATGCCCAAGGTCACCCAGCAGGCTAATGGCAAAGCCAGGTCTCCTGAGTCTCAGTACAGTACCCTAGCCAATAAGCAAAACTTCCTCATTTAAGTACTTGAGTGTAATAACAAGTTACAAGTACATAAACAGGTTACTTTTAGTAAATGATTAATGAAGTCCTATCTAAAGTGATACCTCCATTGCTTTCAGATAATTTTTCAGAGTAACTTTAGCAACCCTTACACCTGAGGAGTTTACTCCACCTTTCCTTACTGTCTTCTTCTTCCTTGTTTTTTTTTAAACATATCCTTATTTTCAAGAAGAAATAGAGCAGAATCACCACATCTGGACCAAAGATTGGGATTGTTCAAATCAAAGACTTTGATTCTTGTGTCTGTCTTAAAATTGTATTGTCCTTCTGTATTAAACTGTACCCTTTCCAGTTAAATATGGTCTTTTGAAAAATACCTGTGTACCAGATTGCTTGTTGAGTAATCAGTGTTACATTCATTACAGTGCACATCGTTAATCCCTGAAGCCACAGCTGTCCTTGATCTAGTGGATAAATGCCCCAAGCATTCAAAAAAGGGAGAATTTCCTGTCATAGTTATTGAAGGATTAGATGCAACAGGTAGGTGCATAATGTGAATATAGAATCACAACTGAATAATTGTTAAAATAATGTCTGATGTGACATCTGTGCATGCTTAAGGCTCATGAGATGTTCAAAAATAAGACTTCAGAAGTGGTTGGCAGAGTCCAGAAGAGCAAGTCACAAAGATCAAAATTCTCCTCCCAGATTTGCATCTCAACTCCAAAGTAATTTTTCACTTCAGGTGCAAATTTCCTACTAATGTCATTGGAAGAGCACTTAGATAGGCAAAGTCGAATATTGGAAACAAGAGCCATTGTGCACAGTGCAACCCTTAGTCTCTTGGAGAAGAGGAGAATCAAGGTACTTTTGAGCAACCATTAATTGCTTTTCCCAGAACAGCATTGTAAATGCCTCTGAAGATCTGTGCCTTCTGCATTTTCAGTTGTAGGGAACCACCCTAAACAGGGAGCAAAATTCATCGTGGTGTCACTCCACTGAAGTGAACAGAATTATACCAGGAATTAATTCGGCAACATCGGTGTACCCTGCCATGTCAATAAAGTTATTGAAATTGAAATGTAGAGAAGTTACCATATGAGTAGATGGCCTAAAGGGCAATAGAGTCAGGCTAGGCAAAAGGGGGAATGACTCTTTGACTAGGTATTACATTTCCAAAGCAGGAGTGTTTTAAATGGGGGTTTTATAATATAAATAAACACACCTTGGACAAGTCCCACACCAGCTCAATCTCACTGGAGCACAACATACAACAACCCTCCTGGGATCACTTCTTGTGTCACTGCTATATTCCCTTTGATCTCTTCAGCAGAGCTCCAAATCCTTAAAGAGACAGGGTGCAGGTAAAGATAACCCCGCCAGCAAATATAACTGATATACTCTTATGGGTACTACATAGAAACTGTGATAAGAACTCGAATAGTCAGATAGAAGCCTACTGTGACATAGTCAAAACCCTATCCTATAACAACACAGTCAAGATACGTAGTAAGATACTAGATAAATATATCTAAATGTGTTTTCCAGCTTAAAGGATAAGAACTTTTTTTTTGCATTTTTAAAAATTAAAGCTAATTGTTATGATGTGCCATGCTATATGTCTAAAGATTTTTTTATTTGTTTTTATTTGTATGTTAACTGCAGGCAAAACAACTGTAACCCAATCGGTTAAGGACTCACTGAATGCACTTCTCTTAAGGTCACCCCCAGCTTGTATCAGCCAATGGCGGAAGACTTTTGATGATGAACCGACACTCATCAGGAGGGCATTTTATGCTCTGGGCAACTACATTGTTGCTTCAGAAATCGCAAAAGCATCCACCGAGTCACCTGTAGTTGTAGACAGGTTTGTAAAAAATATTTTCCTGTTGTTTGAATGTGACATCCAGTCTTTCAATGTGACAAGTAAAGCTACCTGAGTTACCTTTCTTGTCTTTAGCATTACTTTGGTGGTAGCCTGGAAAATATTTATGTATTTCTACTTAATGCTGGTTGGTGGTTTAAGTGCATATGAAAAAGGCAGCTTGATAGTATTGTCTTCAACCAGGCATATTATGATATTTGTAGGCCATCAGATGCAGGAGAAATGCAGAGGACAGAAATAGGACCTTTATGCCGTCTTTATTGACCTGACTAAAGCATTTGACATCAACAGCTGTCCTGGGCTATGGGCTATTACATAAGCTTGGTTGTCCAGAAAAATTCACCAACATTCTGAGGCTAGTTCATGATGGCATGCTCAAAAAAGTCTGCTTAGATGGTGTTCTGGCTGACCCATTTCCTATCACTAAAGATATTAAAAACAGTGCTGCGTAAATGGTCCTCCCTTGTAAAATTTCTTGTGTGCAGCAATGCTCAGTGATGCTATAGGAGACCTGAACGCTGGTATCGGGATACATTTCCGATCCTCTGGAAAATTATTTAATCTGAGCAGGCTTGCTCTGTGAAGGTCTTTGAGGCAATTGTTCATGAGGTGCTGTGTGCCGATGACTGTGTTCTAGAGGCACATACTTTAGAAGAGATACAGTTGATTATGGACAGATTCGCAGAGTCTGCAGAAAGGTACAAGCTGACAATCTGAAAAAGATAGAGGTCGTGTATCAACCTGTGCCAGGGAAACCCTACGTGAAACAAACAGTCACCATCAGCAACACAGAGCGAAATGCTGTTACAGACTTCTGTTATCTTGGCAATACATTGTGAAATGATGTTACTATAGATAAGGAGCTGACAAGTCGTTTCAACAAAGCTAGTTAATCATTTGACAGATTTTCAGGCAGAGTCTGGCAGCAACATATTAAGCTTCAAACCAAGTTAAGTCTAAAAAGTGGTTGTGCTGTCCAACTTGTATCAGTGTTGACCTGCTACAGCATATTAAGCTTCTAGAAGAGTTCCGTTTATGACATCTGCGTGACATATTCTGCATCAAACAGCATGATAAAGTTACCAGTAATGAAGTTCTGTAATGTAGTCACTCCACAGGGATTGAAGCCATGCTTATCTCATCACAGTTATGGTCACGTATTGAGGCTGGATGACACTAGAATGTCAAAGTAGTTGCAGTTTGGTGAACTGAACTGCGTACAAGATGGCCAGAAGAAACACTTCAAGGACACACTGTGAATGCACTTCTCACCAGCTTGTATAAGCCAGTGGAGGAAGCATAACTTGAAACAGTGCAGCATTGAAATTGACAGCTATGAGTCATCAGCAACAGATGGATCACGGTGGTGAGCAATAGTAAACAATGAGGTTCCCAGTTCAAGATTAACCGCCGTATGGATCTTGAGGCACAGAGGCTGCGTTGTAAACAGTGGTGGACTCAGCAGGCACAGATTGTAATCTCTTCCTCAGCATCGAGCTACCTATGCGCTTCATGTGGAAAGGACTGCCACTCAAGCATTGGCCTTTTTAGCCACAGTAATGCCGTCATCAGCATCAACTTGAGTCACGAAGCACAACAACCAGATTATTATAGCAGCTGTATGTCTCAAAAGACGATGCTGTAAATACCAAAGCAGTTCCGTTACTGTGTGTGTGGTGATGCTGCTGTGTTGCAAATGGCTAAAAGTCCAGTTCTCGAACAGCCAGGCATAGCGCAGGCAAGTACTGTGCAAGATTCCTTAATACACTACTACCTATTTGCAACAAACCTAAAGAGAGTGCAGACTGCCAATTGCAGCTGGCTGTAAGGATGTTTCAGATGAGTGTAAATTGAAGATACAAAGGTTGCGGATCTCTTGAAACACCTAGATAGATTTATGTGCGGGTTTTGGGAGGAGCCAGTGGTTATGGTACATGTAGGTACCAATAACATAGGAAAAGGTAGAGGAGAGGTTGTGGAGGCCAAATTTAGGCTTCCAGGTAAGATATGAAATTCCAGGACCATCATGGTAGCATTCTCTGAAATGCTTTCAGTTCCACACATATCGCCAGTTAGACGGACAGAACTGCAGGGTCCCAATTCATGGATGATTTGATGGCGTTTGGAGGAGGTATTTAGGATTTTTAAAAAAGGCTCCAGAGGCAATCCTGGCAATTACAGGTCGGTAAGCCTAACTTCAGTACCAGGCAAATTGGTTCAAACTACAGTAAAGAACAGAGCTATCAGACACATAGATGAACACGATATGATGGAGAAGAGACAACACATCTTTTATAAAGGGAAATTAATCTGCATCAATCTACTAGAATTCTTTGAGGCTGTCAGCAAACATACGGACAAGGGAGATCCAGCGGTTACAGTGTATGTTGACTTTCAAAAAGCCTTTGACAAGGTTCATCACCAAAGGCTCTTAAACAAAGAAAGGAGTTAGGGATAAGGGAAGATCTCTCAGGGATCAGTAATTGGTTAAAAGATAGAAAACAAAGGTTAAGAATAAAGTTAGTTTTCACAGTGGAGAGAGGTAAATAATGGGGTCCCCCGAGTGTCGGTAGTAGGATCAGTGCTGTTCCATATATTCATAAATGATCTGGAAAAAAGGGGTAAACCAGTAGTAAAATTTGCAGATGTTACAAAATTACTCAAGAGAGTTAAATCCAAAGCTGACTGCGAAGAGTTACAAGTGGACGAGAAGCTGGATATGAGTCAACAATGTGCCCTTGTTGCCAAGAAGGCTAACGGCATTTTGGGCTGTATAAGTAGGGGCATTGCCAGAAGATAAGGGACATGATCATTCCCCTCTATTCGACATTGGTGAGGCCTCATCTGAGATGAGATGTCACGAAACAGGGCAAGAAAATGGCAAATGAAATTCAGTGTTAATAAATGCAAAGTAATGCACACTGGAAAACATAATCCCAACTATACATACAAAATGATGGGTGTATAAATTAGCTGTTACCACTCAATAAAGAGATTTCGGAGTCATTATGGGTAGTTCTCTGAAAACATCTGCTCAGTTTGCAGTGGCAGTCAAAAAAGCTAACTTTAGGAACCATTAGGAAAGGGATAGATAATAAGGCAGAAAATATGATAATGCCACTATATAAATCCATGGTATGCCCACACTTTGAATACATCTTACAGTTTTAGTTGCACCATCTCAAAAAATATATTAAAATAAGAAAAAGTACAGAGTAGGGCATCAAAAATGATTAGGGGTATGGAACAGCTTCCATGTGACGAGAGATTTAGAAGACTGGGAGTGTTCAGCTTGGAGAAGAAATGACTGAGGGGGATATGATAGAGGTCTATAAAATCATGAATGATGTGTAGAAAGTGAATAAGAAAGTGTTATTCACCTCTTCCCTGATTCTTGTGTTATGTGGTGACCCAATTAAATTAATAGGCAGCAGGTTTAAAACAAACATGAGGAAGCACTTCTTCACACAATGCACAGTCAACCTGTGGAACTCATTGGCAGGGATTGTTGTGAAGGCAAAAAGCATAACTGGGTTCAAACAAGAATTAGATAAGTTCATGGAAGATAGGTCCATCCATGGCTATTAGCCAAGATGGTCAGGGATGCAATCTCATGCTCTGGGTGTCCCTAGACCTCTGACTGCTAGAAGCTGGATGACAGGAGATGGATCCCTTGAAAACTTGCTCTGTTCTGTTCAGTCCCTCTGAAGCATCTGGCAACAGCCACTGTTGGAAGACAGGATACTAGACTAGATGGACCATTGGTCTGATGCAATATGGCCATTCTTATATTCTTATGAAATGACTGAATTTAAAACACACTTAGCCCTACAGAGATGAAAAGATAGCAGTGCAGGTGGAGAGGAGTCCTCTAAATCCCCTAATTTGTCCAATTTACTAGTTCATTAGCATAATCAAGAAATGTTATTTCCTCAGTTCTCCTGTTAAAAATATGAGTACTCTTTTTGTTGAGATGGTGACAAATTGGTGTGGCCATTCTGAATGAATGGTGAGAACATGGCTTGACATGACTGAACTGTGAAAGAGGGTTCTGGGAACAGAATCCTTCTCATACTATCAGGCAGATGCCAGAGGTGAAACTGACTGGCTCCATGCAGCGTGTATGATCAATACTGATCTTTGAGTCAGCAAATATGGCCACTTGAAAGCAAACAACACGTGTAGAACATCTGGAGTGGAGCATGGGCTGACTGGGGCATCTCGTCCCTGTTGAAGGACATCACACAAGGGACTGAAGTGAATGATTGATAAGGGAGTGAATGTGGGGTAATTTTCAGTTGCCACCACTCTGCAGTCTCCTTTTAAAGTATTAATTAGGTAAAAATTAGTAACCACACGCTCACTGGGCATGCTTTTAAGACACCTGACTCCTTTGAGGAAAAAGAGTATAAAAACCAAGCAAATTAAATTACTGTTGGGATTCCTTAATTAACACTTAAAGAAGCAACGCTGCTAGACAGAATAGCCAAAACTCTGCTCCATGGCCTCAAATAGGACTGTGAACCAGAGGGGTCTCAAGGCAACCGAGGCCTTGCCTGGAGGGACTCCGAGACAGACCAGAGGGCTGAGAAGAACAGACCTGGAGAGAAGAAGCCGTCTATAAAATTGGTAATCGCCTTCTCTGTTTGCCAAGCAGGAACTGTGTGAGGCTAGCGCAGGGCCTGTTTGTGTGTGTTTGTGAAAAAGAGATTCATTAAGGGGAATGTATAACTCCTATGTTAGACATTAAGAGCTATGTGCTTGATATAATCCTTCACCGCTTGTGTAATTGCTTCTCAATAAACTGCTGTGCATTGAAAATAATTACTGTGGACCTTTTTTCACTGGTATGACAGTAATCTCCTCTGCCAGGAGCCAATAAAGATCAATTTCAGGAGTAGTAGCGCCCCCTGTTGTCAGCATTTGGTAGCAGAGGATGGTTTGCTGTCATGTCTAAGTGAATGGGGTCTTTAAACTGAATG